ACGGCACATAACAACAACAGCCCAATTAAAAAATGGGCAAAGATTCTGAAGACATTTCTCCAAAGAAGATATACAAATTGACAATAAGTACATGAAAAGATGCTCAGCATCACTGGGCAAATGCAGATACAGCCATAATGAGATATCACTTCATACCCATAAAGATGGTTATAATAAAAACAGCAGCTAAGAACAAATGCTGGTGAGAATGTGGAGGAACTGGAACTGTCATATACTTCTGCTGGAAATGTAAGAAGGTGCAGCTGCTTAGGAAAATAGTTTGACAGTTTCTCAAAAAGTTAAACATAGTTAAACACAGAATTACCGTATTACCCAGAAATTCTACTCTTAGTTCCTGCCACACTACAATGTTCATGTTTTCCAAACCCCAGAGAAATGAAAACATATGTCCACACTAAAACTTGTACAAAATTGTTAATAGCATTATTCATAATAGTTAAAAGGCAGAAACAACTCAAATGTCCATCAACTGATAAATGGATAAATGAAATGTGATATATCCACACAGTGGAATATTATTCAGCCATAAAAAAGAATGAAGTATTGGTAATTCATTATAACATGGATGAACCTTGAAAACATTATGGTAAGTGAAAGAAGCTAGTCACAAAAGACCACATATTGTATGACTCCATTTACATGAAATGTCTAAAATAGGCAAATCTATAGAGAAAGAAAGTAGATTAGTAGTTGCCTGGAGGGGTGGGGGGTAGGACAGGAGCTCTGGTGGTGAAGTGGTTACAGCATCCAGCTGCTAACCAAAAGGTTGGAGGTTCAAACCCACCCACTGCTCTGCTGCTCAATGAGAAAAAATGAGGCAGTCTGATTATGTAAGGATTTACAGATTTGGAAACCCTATGGGGAAGTTCTACTCTGCCCTAAAGGGTCACTATGAATCGGAATCCACTTCATAGCAGTGGGTTTGTTTTTTGTAAGGAGCGGAGGGGAGTCAGTGAGTGATAGCTAATGGGTATGGGGTTTCCTTTTCTGGATGATGAAACTGTTCTAAAATTGTGGTGATGGATGCAAAACTCCATGAATACATTAAAACCACTAAATTGTACACTTTCAATGGGTAAATTGTACTGTATGTGAATTATATATCAATAAAGCTGTTACCAAAAAGAAAGTACCTCTTCTGTGAGATCTTTCTTGAGCCCCCAATAAAACTGACCATTCTGCCCATGTGTCTCCATGGTTTCCTGCATGGACTTAGTACCCACAACTAACACTTATTTGTTGGTATGTCTGTTTATTCTCAACTAAACTGTGGGTTCCTCAAGGCAGGAGTTTGGTTCATTTTTCTTGGAATCCACAATGTCTGTACACTTTATGTAGACTGTGAAAAGCTACATTAAAAATATTGGTTAAAAGACAATCTGAAAGGCTGTCATGTGTCAAAGGGACTGTGCTTGCTTACACACTTCAATAGGCAGAAATGGAAGCTACAATGATACAAACTTAGAATTTCCAAGTAATTAAGGCTGTCCTTTTCTTCGAAGGAGGGGTTTCTGGTTCTGTGAATCCTCTGAAATGATACTCAAATTTTGGGTATATACATAAATAACCAAAACCAAACTCACTGCCCTCAAGTCAGATTCGACTCATAGCAACCCCTCCTTGAGTTTCTGAGGCGGTTTCACTAGGGAAGTAGATTACCCAATCTTCCTTCTGAGGAGTGGCTGCTGGGTTTGAACCACCAGCCTTCTGATTAGCAGTCAAATGCCTTAGGCACTATGCCACCAGAGCTCCCGTATAAATAAATAGCATGTGCATTTTTCTAAGGTACAAATCCGTAGCTTTCCTCAGAATCTCAAGGGATATGTAACCTAAAGAGTTCTGGTGGCGTAGTGCCTAGGCATTTGAATGCTAACCAAAAAGTTGGAGGTTCAAACCCACCAGCCACTCCACAGAATGAAGACTGGGCAATCTAATTCTGTAAAGATTTACTGCCTCAGAAACCCAAAGGGGGTCACTATGAGTCAAATTTGACTTGATGGCAGTGAGTTTGGTTTGGCTTTATGTAACCTAAAAAATGGTTAGGATTCATTCACTGCTTTAAAAAGTTAGCAAATTTCAGCTGCTGGGATATATTGTTTAAGGTAGGTTTTTACCTAGAATATACCACCAGCCACTCCTTGGAAGGAAGATGGGGCAATCTACTTCCGTAGCGATACTGCCTCGGAAACCCAAGGAGTCGCTATGAGTCGGTCCGACTCGATGGCATATAACAACAACAACATACTACTTCAATAATTTATAATCTAAAAACAAAATACACAATGATATCAGTAGCTTCATAATTTTAATTAATTCATTCTAAACTAACCAAAAACCATTGTTACCGAGTCAAATTCCAACTCATAGTGACCCTACAAACTGGACCACAGGGTTCCCAAGGCTATAAATCTTTACAGAAACAGACTGCCACATCTTTCTGCTGTAGAGCAGCTAAGGGTTCAAACTGCTGACCTTTTGGTTAGCAGCTGAGTGCTTAACCACTACGTAACCATGACTCCTTTCAGAAGTATCTACTGCCAGATGCTGGAGATATAGTGGTAAGTAAAACAGATAAAGTTCCTGCCCTTGTAGAGCTTACGTTCTAGAAATAAAGGAGAAAATAAAACAACATGATGGAACAGATAATCATGGGAGTGGAAAGATAGTTATTTTAGCTGGGTCAGCAAGGGAAGTCTAAGGAAGTTACATCTGAGCAGAAACTTGAATGATAAGGAGGCTGAGGGAAGAGTACTTCAGGAACAAAGAAAACAGAAAGTGGAAGACCCTAAGATAAGAGCAGTGAATATCAGCACTTAAGTTTTCAAGGGGGAAAAGCCATGTGTGATCTCCACTCTGTACTTTCTACGTTTAGAAGAGCATTTTCTGCTCTCATTTAATAGTACTTGTTCAAGAGAATTCAGCATAGATGGGAATTCAACTCCGTAAAAAACTTTTAGACCAATCTTCACTGCTTAGGTTATCGTTAATTTACTCTTCTTCAAGACAGACAATACCATTAGACAAAGCGAGTAAAAGCTTTTGGATTTTGTAACAAGATGGAAGAAAAGGCAAAAAAAAAAAAAAAAAAAAACCATGCAAAGTTTTTTTAGAAATCTCTTCCAGGTTGATAATTTTACAACCTTAAAGGTTACATGCAAATTCTGTAAGCAGAATTCTTTGTTCAATTTTCCCTCCACCCCTAGAGCTTAGTACGTTGCATTTATACTATTTATAATCTATAATGACAAAGAGGGTGAAACTACAGCAAGTAGTTAGAAGAAAGCAGAAGTTCAAAAGGAGCTGTCCAACAACCAACAGGCTGAACATCGCTCGGTGGGAGCTTTTAGAGGCTGTAAAACCATGTCTCAAGGATGTTACAGAGCGAATTTACAGAAGAAAGTTACCAGTAGAACTTCATGATCGCTACAGAATTGTTTTCTTTCCTTCTCTCGGCCTTTGGCACCCATGCCTTTACACTCATTCATTCTATAACTCCTTCCGCCACCCCCAGTGCAGAGACAGGATGGATTTTGAAACACCACACACATCATGCCATTGATAAAGGATTAACAAAGGGCTATTATTTAACTAAGGATCATACAGCAATTTGTTCATATCCACCTCAGTAATTAAAATGTGGATATTCAAAATCTTCAAATTATATTTAAAAAGCTACAAAAAGAGCACAGAGCAGTGAAGTAACCTGAAGCGCTACACCAAGCTGAAAGTACACAACGGATTCGGGTTAACAACAGCAATTCAAACTGATTTTATTTAATAAAAGCACACGACAGAAAGTGCATGGAAACCCCGAGGGAAACTCAACTGGGAGCCCTCCTGACTCATAGCACCTCGATAGACGCTCAAGAAGGTGTGTTAAACCAGAGAAGGTAGAAAGGGCTCCGAGCAAAATTCAGAGGAGTCTGTGCAAGGGTGCCCAGACATGTAGCTCAGGATTCCTGGTCCTTCCCTGCAGCAGAGCCTCGGGAGGGACCAGGTGCCCGGTGGAGCTGCGCTGCTGCCCACTGATGCCCAGGAAACCCATGGGCCTTGGCACCATCCAAACGCGGTCTTGTCCGCCCTCCCTCGCGCATTTGGCTGATATGGGGGGGGGGGGAGGGACGGAAGACCCCAGAGTTACCCCTCCCTCAGTAGCGTCCTTCGTTCCCGCTGCCCGGGTTACATGCCCCGTCCCGGGAGCCCACGCCAGGCAGCTGAGGAGGAGCTGGGCCCGGCCGGGCCGCCCGCTCTTACCTTCAGGCGCCGGCGGGGGTTCCTGCCGCTTTCCGCGGGACAAGAAAGCCTTGGGCAGCAGCAGCGACACAGCCAGCACGAGCCCTGAGGCCAGGGCTACTCTCTGCACCGTGAAGTACGCCATAGCGGCTCCTAGCCGCAGGTGACAGATTCCAGCCGGAAGCGGAACTGGAACCGCAGCGCCCGCGGCTGCCCCCGACCCAACCGCGGGGTGCGCGACGGCGCCGCGCAAGGGACATGGTGCGCGAGGCGCCGGCGCTCCAGCTCGCGCCTGGATCTGACCTGTACTTCCTCAGACTTAACCGGTTGCTGGAAATAGTAGCCTCGCCCTTCAATTTGCACGAACTACAAACTCCTCCTCCCTCACTCTCCACCTTCATCTATCCTGTACATTCTATCGCCAACGTCTGGAAGTCGTCCACTTTAAGTGGTTTTAATCACCGCATCACTACCCACGCCTTAACCACCACTATCAATTGCCTGATTACCACAAGAAGTCCTTGGTCTTCCAGCTTCCACTCTTGCCCCTCACATCCATTTTCCATCTGCAGTCAGTCAGAGGTGATCATTCTAAAACTACTTATTTCTCTCCTCTGCTTGAAACCTGTCAATAATATTCTATTATCCTCAGAACAATGGTCAAATTCCTTTCCATGACCTCAAGGCCCCTCATAATCTGACCCTAATCAATGCTCTATGCAAAGTGGATAGTTTGCTATTTTCCTAGCATATTTCTTCCTTCAGAGCAACTTTGTTCTGTCTGGAAAATTCTTGACACCCTCTCACCTGTCAAAATGTCTGAAAAGCAGCTTAAAGGTATTAATAAAACGTTTTTATGCATTTCTGCAGTTCTTTTTTACTGACTCCATTCACTCATTTAACATTCTTTCTGTTGTTCTATGTGTCAGACCCTGAACTTGGCACTAGAGGGTCTGATGAGTCAGATATGCTGGACTCCAGGGTGGTCAGCTCAACTGGAAGGAGAAGTCAGAAAAAGCTCTTTAAAGGAGGTAAAATCTGAGTTAGTTTTTGAAGAATGAGTAAGTTACTAGGGAGACAGGTGAGAGGGCTTAGGAGGATATAGAAAAAAAGGGAAAGAAAGAAACAGGCATGAAAACTTGAAGTTTACTGGTGTTTTCAGTCAGAAAACTGTCAGCAATTCACTTTGGCTGGGCCATGTGATTGGTAGCAGGACAAAATGTGATGATGAGGAAGGCTGAAGGGGGCCCCTCACTGAAAACTGTAAAACTTTCACAGGTGAGCAGGCATGACTAAAGTGGACTTTAATCATAGTGACTAACTTTCTGTTTTTCCCTCCCTTATTACTTCTTTCAAATAAATAGAATAGCCAAATCTTCTTTACGGATGCTAAGGTTTTTTAGATTTGCTATTCCCAATTATGTATTCTTTGAATCATAACCCCCTCCCACGGCTAGTTCAGCTAAGAACCACATCCTACAACAAGATGACCCTGAGAAAGAAGTCACCAAGCCTTAGAGCAACCAGTATAAAGGAGAAACAGAGATATCCCTGGTGGACCGAGAGGCCTGAGGTGTCCGCTCCCATACTCTTCCCCCTTGTAGAGTTAATCTCTCTAGGCATATGTGAGGAACTTGAAAAACACTTCTTCACCAAGAATGTTTTCTTATCACTGACCAGAAGAAGAGCTGAGAGGACACAAGGCAACTAGGACTCATCTCATGACGGGAAGAAGACAGTACCAGCATTCCTCCCCTTTCCCCCCACACACTCAGCTCAAATCTCTTTAAAAACTCTAACCATTCCCCAGCTCAGGGAGACAGACATTTTAGAGAAATGATTCTCACTGTCTGTTTGGGTATAGATACTCAATAAACCTTTTGCTCTCTCTCTCTTCAACCTGTTGTGACCATTGGCTCTTCACGACAGGGGTAAAGACCTTGTTTTGCTACAACAAGACTACAAAGATAAGCAGGGACTGTTGTTGTTAGGTGCCGTTGAGTTGGCTCTGACTCATAGTGACCCTGTGTACAACAAAATGAAACACTGCCCAGTCCTGTGCCAGTCTCACAATACTTGCTATACCTGAGCCCATCATTGCAGCCACTGTGTCAATCCATCTTGTTAAGGGCCTTTCCCTTTTTCGTTGACCCTCTACCTCACCAAGCATGACATCCTTCTCCAGGGAATAGTCCCTTCTGATAACACTACCAAAGTAGGTGAGACAAAGTCTGGCCATTCTCGTTTCCAAGGAGCATTCTAGCTGCACTTCCTCCAGGGCAGATTTGTTAGTTCTTTTAGCAGTCTGTGGTACCTTCAGCATTCTTCGCCAGCACCACAACTCAAAAGCATCAGTTCTTCTTCTGTCTTCCTTATTTATTGTCCAGCTCTCACGTGCATATGAGGCAATTGAAAATATCATGGCTTGTGTCAGGCACACCTTAGTCCTCAGGGAGACATCTTTGCTTCTCAGCACTTGAAAGAGGTCCTTTGCAGCCGACTTGCCCAGTGCTCTATGTCATCTGATGTCCTGACTGCTGCTTCCACTGGTGTTAATTGTAGAACCAAGCAATGTGAAGTCTTTGACAACTTCAATCTTTTTTCCATTTATCGTGATGCTGCTTATAGATCCAGTTGTGAGAATTTTTATTTTCTTTATAGTGAGATGTAATCCATACTGCAGACTGTATTCTTCAATCTTCATAAGTAGGTGCTTCAAGTCATCCTCACTTTCAGCAAGCAAATTTGTGTCATCAGCATATCACAAGTTGTTAATGACTCTTCCTCCAATCTTGATGCCACATTCTTCTTTATGTAGTCCAGATTCTTGGATTATTTGCTCAGCACATAGATTGAATAAGTATGGGGAAAAGATACAACCCTGATGCACTCCCTTCATGATTTTAAACCATGCATTGTCCTCTTCTTCTGTTTGAATGACAGCCTCCTGGTCTATGTACAGGTTCCTCATGAGTACAATTAAGTGTTCTGGAATTCCCATTCTTCTCAATGTTATCCACAATTTGTTATGATCCACACAATCAAATGCTTTGCATAGTCAATAAAACACAAGTAAACATCTTTCTGGTATTCTTTTCTCTAAGCCAAGACCTATCTGACATCAGCAATGATATCCCTTGTTCCACGTCCTCTTCTGAATCCAGCTTGCACCTCTGGAAGTTCTCTGTTAATATACTGCTGCAACCGTTGTATATTATCTTCAGTAAGATTTTACTTGCATGCGATATTAATGATATTGTTTGATAATTTCCACATTCTGTGGGATTGCCTTTCTTTGGAATGGACACAAATATGGATTTCTTCCAGTCACTTAGCCAGGTGTCTGTCTTCCAAATCTCTTGGCATAACTGAGTGAGTGCCTCCAGCGAGGCATCCATTTGTTGAAACATCTCAGTGGGTATTCCATCAATTCCTGGAGTCTTGTTCTTTGTCTATTCCTTGTTTTGGCTGAAGATATTGAGCTTTTCCATCTCCTCTTGCCACAGATGCAGTCAATCTGATTCCTGTGTACTCCACCTGGCAAAGTCCATGTGTATAGCTGCTATTTGTGTTATTGAAAAAAGATACTTGCAATGTATAAGTTGTTAGTCTTGCAAAATGCTATCATGTGA